CCACTGAGCCAAACTGGCCAGTGCGGCATTGTCTTTTCTATATTACTTACTACAACACATTGCAATAAGCGAACTATGGCCTATAGGCTGCATCCAACAGGCCAAATCCTGCAACCCCTGCCTTCTTGTATTTCAACACCTGGAACTAAGAATGGCAGAATGGCTTTACAAATTTATATATGATGGAGAGAGACAGAGAGAGAGAGACGGAAAGACACAGAATATGTGACGGAAACCATGTGTAGCTCACAAAGCCTAAATTATTTATAAATTGCTCTTTAAAAAAAATCTGTCATCTCCTAATCTGTTTGGCTATGAAAGCTTTGCATCCCCAGCATCCAGCTACATCAATTAAAAGTTCAGTTAGAAACCAAGTTAGTTTTTTCAACACAGATGTTGTTGTTGTTATTGTTGTTGTTTTAGGGGAAGGGTGAGAGGAGCAGAGAGGGAAATTTTTATTAACCAGAGACTAGGAACTAGCAATCCTAATGGCCTATAAGACCTTTGGAGGCTTTGTGGCTGCCAGAAACAAAAAAGAATGGTGCTTATTTAATTCCTACCTTCTAATCTCATGTGAGTGCTTTCAAATGGCAAAACCTAACCAGAACCAATTTGGCAATGAACTTTGGAAAATGTTGTTTTCAATGTATTAGTCCCAGTGGTTCAAGGAGAACAAAACAGTGTGAATGTATAGATGACTATAAATGAAAAATATCTAGCACACTGGCATGATGTCCTGCACACTGTAGGTTCTTAGAAAAGGTTTATTGAATTAACATTTTGAGCCATTAATGTGTTACGCACTTAATAGAATGCCTAGCTTAATAAAACCATTTCTTGCCTTCAAGTAGTTTATGATCTACTACTTGTAAACCAATCTAATGAGAGAGACTGAAGTGCAAACAAACTATGCTTCAAGGCATAAAGTAATAGATGGTGAATAAAGATTACATGAAAAGTGCTGAAAGAAGGCGGAGAAAATAATAAATTCAGCTTGGAGGATAGAGAGGGGATGGCTTTTTGGAGGTATGTACTTAGGCACTGAAAAGGCTTTTGAAACTAAGAGGATTGGAGGAAATTTCACTTCAAGGAAAATGGGGCAGTGTCACCAAGATGTAAAAGCAAATGGAATTTTAAGGAGTTAACACAGTGTAGCCGTAACTCAATGAATTTTTATGTGATGGTACTTAAGTTAAAAAAAAATATGATAAATCTTATTATTTTATAAAGCACATTTATTTACTTAAGTTCTTTTTTTATATATACTTCAACTATGAACTTCAATAGAACCCAAGACCAAAATTCTATGATTAGAATCTGAGAACAACTTTATTGCATGTTCTAAAATACAAGTACTTAAATTGGCCCTTGGAAAGATTATGTACCTTAGCATTAACTTTATACTCAACACCATTTGTTAAAAGAGTAATATTTCTTGTCCCTTAACCCCATATTGACCTCACCCCACATGCCACATTATGTTCCAAATCCAGGCCTGGGACATGCATGCACAATGCTCTATTCTTAATAGAGTCGGTGGGAATTATGTGGTGGCTATGTACTTCAGATCAAACTTGACTTGAAGCTTCCACTAATTTCTCTATCAAGTTTCACATGCTGTATATACCAATCACATCAATCACATTTTGCATAGAGGGAGAACATATAAACATGGCCTCTTACTAAACTTTATTTTAATTTTCATTTAAGCAGAAGGAATTAGATTAGAATGAAGATTTAAAATGATGTTCTTATTTTTAAATTAACTGATGTACATAAGTCTGCCACAATTAGCACCCAAAATTCAGTGTGACCTTTATGGCAGCTGGTGATATTCTAATATTTCTGAGTAGTACATAAAAGGTGAAAGGGCATATCTCCTTTCAATGTGCATATGTAACTGCAATAAGTATTAATAGGAGTACATACTTGTGGGTAATCCTGGAATGTATATCTATATTTATAATTAGGAATAGTTATGTGAATTTGATATAAATATCTGTCATCAGTGGTGTTTAATTATCAATTTCCCTTATATATTTTGTAAGCACCATGAGCTTATGGTAGCTTATTAGGTTTTTATAACAGGTAATGAAAGAATGTTTAGAATTTTAAAAAATTTTTCATGTGCAACAGTATTTGTACAGGAACCATAAATTGAAATGTGAGGATTTTTTTATTTGTTATATTTTGCCAAGTTATAGCAAATGATCAGACAAGGTCTTGTATTATTTGAAAATGTAATTTTGTGTATGAAATTCAATTCTTAAATGCCTGTTTTTGTAGCCCTAGAAAAAATGTCAAGAGCAGAGAGGGTGGTGGTTTTATTATACTCTGCTGCTCTCTGAACAGACTTCCCTTATTTTCTGATTTCCCTTAACTTTCCCTTTCTTTGTTTGGCCTTTTGATTATCCTCATTCCCTGCCATTTGCTTTAGTTATGTGCGAAATGAGTGGAGAAAAGTGAAAAGAAACACAAAAAGCATGTTTTTGTGAAGGATTTTGGGTGGTTTTTACTTTCTCCTTTATGTTTTTTTGTATTATTTGAAATTATAAGCATTAGAAAATTTTTTTAAAAAAAGGTTATTCTGATCACAAAAAAACTAGCATTAACATTCTAGAAATTTTAAGAACTTGATTGGTAGGATTGTTGACTAATGTACAGGCTTTAGAGAGAAGCCTAGTGTCCCTGTGATTATATTAATTTTCAAATGAATTGGTTTGACTTATTCATGATGTTGCTCTTTCTAGAACATGTTTATGAACTAATTCTCTAAATTTTAGGAAGCTGTTTACATTTTATATTTCAAACAAAATGATAATTCTTTTTTTTTTTTTTTACTAGATTGTCACTGTAAAGACAGGAACCATACCTGTTTCCTTCTTTAGATGGAATATGGCCATATTTTCTATTACTTTTCTGTTCAGTAGATATTTCTTTAATTATTTAACATATAGTACGTTTACAAATTAGTTTAAGAGATGCTCCAACAGAAAAATTGGCAGAGTAGCCCTGGCCGGTTTGGCTCAGCGGTTAGAGTGTCGGCCTGCGGTCCAGAGATACCCAGGTTCGGTTCCCGCTAAGGGCACGTACCTCGGTTGCAGTTTGTCCCCGGCCCTGGTCGGTCGTGCGGGTGGCAGCCACTCGATGTGTTCCTTTCACGTGGATGTTTCTCTCTCTCTCTCTCTCTGTTCCTCTCTCTCCCTCCCACTCTACCTGAACAAAAAATGGAAAAATGTCCTCGGGTGAGGATAAAAAAAAAAAAAAATCAAAAAAAGAAAAATTGGCAGAGTACATGACATACGTTTTTGTGTAAGTACAATGTAATGCAGTACTTTTTTTTTTTAATCCTCACCCGAGGACATTTTTGCATTCATCTTCAGATAGAGCTGGAGGGAGAGAGGGAGGAAGAAAGAGAGAGAAACATCGACATGAGAGAGACACATGGAGTGGTTGCCACCCACACAACCCCAGCTGGGGCCGGGAACAAACTGTAACCGAGGTATGTACCCTTAGCAGGAACCAAACCCAGGCCTCTCTGGTCCATGGGCCGATACTCTAACTGCTGAGTCAAACTGGCCAGGGCTGTACTGCAGTACATTATTTCACAAAGAAGCACAATGGCCAATAATCATGAAAGATGTATTACTTCAGTAAGAAGCAAACAATGCAAATGGAAACAACTGATATATTTTTTTCGGTGATTCAAAGCATGCTTCTGCTCACCATTGGCATGTGAACAGAGAAAAATGTGCATTTTTATTCTCTTTTGATACAGTGAAATTACTTAATTCATTCTGGAAACCAATTTGGAAATATGTCTCAAATGTAATATATATGGAACATTTGATCCCATAATTCTATCTCTAAGAATTTATCTTCAGGTGATAATCAAGTGTGGTAAGATTTCTATGTAAGGATGTTTGTAGCAGCATTGATTGTTATGTAGAAGAATTAAAACTCTAAATACCCATCAATAGAGATTTGTTAAATAAACTATGCTTCTTTATATAATGAAAGTATATTCAGCCATGTAAATGATGATCTATATTTGTTGATCTGTAAAAATATTAATAATATATCGTTGGGTGAAAGAACAGTTTATAATAAAGTATATGTAATATGATTCTGCATGACAAGTTCAGCAAACTTTTGCTGTAAAAGGCCAGGTAGTAAATTTTTAAGTTCGCTAGTCATATGGTCTCTGTCATACTACTCATCTCTCTGTTTTAGTGCAAAAGTAGCTATAGACAATGTATAAACAAGGGAGTACGACTGTGTTCCAGTAAATCTTTATTTTCAGAAATAGGCTTCCGAGTTAGCTTGCTGACCCCTCCTATACATGTAAAAGTGGGAGTTAGGGGGAGAGAAAGACTATACATTTCTAAAAGAATGTTCACCTAAACATTAATAGTATGGCTCTCTGGGGATATTCTAGATGATTTTTACTTGCTACTTAATTTTTCTGTATTGTTTGATTTTTTTATAGGCATTAATATTCTTTGTTATTTTGTAAATGGAATTTGTTTACCCTTCAGGAAAACAGGTTTATAGGGTAATATACCTGAGAGTTCTATTTCTATCATCTTTCATGTTACATATGCATATATTAAATACAGTAATATTTAGATATATTTTACCATGTTATCTGGTGGAAAATCATTTCATGCCTGCATTATTGTAATTGATTCTTTAACAATATTCTTCTTCCTGGTTTTTATAGTCCTTCCTTTTACACACAATTGCCAACTTTACCTACATATATTTTTAAATCTAGAATTCCATTATCTAGGTCTTCCAGAATCTATCAGAAGTAATCCAGTTTTGTAATAAAAATACACATACATGTGCGCACACACACACACACACACACAAGTGACTTGGCCCTCTTATTTGTGATACTGCTAGCTTTCTGGTTTCCCTTTCCACCCCCTTAATATGGAACCCCAAGGTCCTTATCCTCTTTTCTCACAACATTGTTTCCTTTGGCATTCTCATAGGTTCAGATATCACCTCCATCTGAGGACTCATCTTGGACATTCGTGTAAGTAGGTGACTGGTAGCCAATTGTGTCTTGGAAATTTATTTAAACCCACACCTACTTTAATAACCAGTTACCCATAATTACTTTCACTTCCTCATATAGGTTTTAGCTTTCCATCAAATTCCTCTTATAGTTTTGCCAAGTTTAGATTTACTGACTCAGATTTAACATCTGGCTCACCACAATATACCTAGATTGTGAACCTAGATTTTCAATGTCAGCCTCAGATGAGGCATTTTGGTGCCTTCTGTAAGTATTCAGAGACAGAGAAGAGTAGAAGCAGAGAAACGAATTACTCTTACCTTCAGTTTTTGCGGCAAGTTATGTTGGTGGCTCTGACTAGCTACACTGTAGGAAATAAAAAGAAGTAGCTGGATGCTGGGATTTTAATAACACTAACAGCATTTCGTGATGAAGCAGATTTGGAGAGGAGAAGAAGAGGGTCCCCCAAAGATAACTCACAGTTTCTTGGTGTGTACAAATGGGAAATAGTGGCTGTCATAATCTGTTGGGAAAGAGGAGAAGTGAAGGGTTAGAAGTTTGAGGATTCTACCAGGCCAGGGAAGAGGGGTATTTTTGGCAGAAGAAACAATTTTAGCAAAGGCTTGAAGGTGTGGAAATAATCAGTGTTTTCTGGAAATTGCAAGTAACCGAGTGTTCAGTAGTGTGAGGTATGAAGTAGGAGAGGCCAGTATAGAGAAGTAAGTCTGGGAAAGCAAGCTAAAGCCTGATTGTGAAGGGTCTTGAGTCCCATGCTAATTAGCTTTTGCCTTACCCTTATAAATCAGCTGTCCCTCAATGTTTAGATTCATAAACTGCTAAAAATTCATATCCAATTTATGACACCAACATAGAATTGCCTGCTTTTATTTTGCTAAGTATTAAAGCAATAATAAAATAGAATTTATTTTTCAACTGATAATGGTGACAGAATAAATCCTAGAGTCAATATTAGAAATTATTGTAATAACTATAGAACTTTATTTTTTAACTAATGAAGAATTGCTGGAAATGACTAAACACCAAACTTCTGCTTGAAAAAAGGAACTCAGAGGCGAGTTACTTAACTTCAACACCTTAGAAAAACAGCCACAAATCACCAGTCAAGTGGTGAGCTTGAGCAATGAAGAATAATAGTAACAGCATTGCTGAGCCTTACCATATGATAACATTCTTAAAAGAGTTTGGCAAATGACTGGACTTCCGGCATCATAAAAGGAACAATGATCTATGCTTAGTAAATAGGACAAATGTTGTAACTGCTTTTTTTTTTTTTTTTTAATTTTCTGAAGATGTGCTAGGAAGGGATTCACGTTCATATGGCACTATTGGATTATAAAATTTATAATTTTAAATGCCCATTTCAAAAGATGGACCTTAAGTATGAATCACTGTTAAGGAATTTTCTTACTATCATATTTACACACATTTCAAAATATCCATCAATACTATCCTCACGGACAGTCATGGTGAATACAAAGATAATGGTCTGAATTATCCAAATATTCTCTTCCTCTTTTGCAACATTAACTGTTATTTTTCCTTTATGTTCCATTGTTTATAGTTTTCTGTTAAGAAAATTTTGAAAACTGAACACTAGGTATTTTCTCATATTTCAGGAGTAGTACTAGAATTGACATAACTCTAAATTACATTATAAAGGAAGCTAAAGAACATATAAATCATGCCAAAAATACTTAGGATTGGAAGGACTGGATGCCTAAGGGAATTGGTAATTTGATCCAAAGCCTGTCACCTGTTAAAATTTATCCTGGGTCAGTAGTGACTGAAAATCATCACGACCTGACAGGTGCTCAGGATTGCATGTAAAATGAAGTGGCAGACTCAGTATAGTTCCTATTTGACACGTGTATGCACTACTGAAACCACTGCAACATTAATTGATAACTATGCTGGCAATCTTGATTGCGGTGCCAAGGACTAACTGGCCTGAACTCTCTTCACCCCTACTAATGTGCTCTTTTAAATAGGCTCAAGTGTGCTTGTGTAGTAGAAAAGTGTGGTTGGGTCTGCTCCTTTGACTAGATTAATTTACTCCTAAAATTGGCCATCTGTGTTTCTTCACAGTAGATTCTTTTATTTTTATTTTTTTAAAAGCTTCCCCTCCCCTACCCCATGAAATGTTTTTCTCTCTTTTGAAAAAATATCAAATAATATAAAGCATTAAATTGCTGCTACTTATCATCCACAGGGATAAGTAGTACACCCATCCCCCTAATTTATTCTCTCCTTGGAATTTAATTTAGAAGGATCATTGTGCTTTTTTATTATTGTAAGTTGTTTATTATAAGATAACTTACAAATATCTTGCTATCTTTTGTGACTTAAACAATGGACCAATAATTTTCTCTGACTAGGATAGCAGTAAGCTAAAAACAAAATCAGCTGGCTGAATTTTCCTTCTTTACCTCTTGAGGATGAAACTTGATTTTCATTAATCTAGAGCTGCAGCACCAGAGATGGTTTCAATCAACTCCTTTGTGATGACAGCTTGGCGGGTGCAGTTGAAAGTCAAAGTCAATTTGTCAGTCATTTCAGAAACATTCTTGCTCTCATTGTTCATGGCCGTCATCCTGGCACTTTGCTGGCACGTAATGGATTCCTTCAGAGAATAGTAGATGATGTTGGCAAGACTATATTCCTGGTAAGACTACAGCATGTCAGCATCAATATCATCATAGATACTCATGTTCTCAGCTCTTACAATGATATTAAGGGAAAAGATGGGATTTTTTAATTCTGTCTTGTAGAAGATGACAGACGTGAATCAATTAAAGACAATAGACCTTCATCAAATTTATATCCAGAATTTAATAATTCCAGGGCAATGACTAATGCATCTCCAAAAGTAGGGGGTTTTCTTCCCACTTCTTTGAATGTCACCAGAAATTGGTCAGAATGAGTCCTATGAAGTATACCCCTAATTTTATCACCAATTCTAACAATCTTAACTTCTTTTCCTGCTGCTGTGAACATAGCCACCTCACTTTTCATCTGTTTAGCAACTGAGGAATGGGCAGCACAGAGGACACACTGATAAGGAGGTATTTCTTCTTGTCTTCAGGTGCCTTAACATCAGTCTTTTAATGCAGAGCCAATACATTGTTCCATATATTGGTTTCATCTTCCTCTGAACTTGGGCATATTTTGCTGCTGCTGCCATCTTTATAGACTTGCTAATTTTCTGGATGTTTTTTATTTACTTCATTTGCTTGGTAATGTTTTTCAAAGTTGCCATATTTTAAACTTGGATCCATTGTAGCTGCACAGCCCAGGTCAAAACCCCAATGATACCTACCCAAAAAAACATGGCGGTACTGACCCTGCTGTAATAGCATCAGGGAAATTTATATAAGGAAAAATATATATATATATGTACACACACACACACACACAAATATATATGTATATATATGTATATATGTACACACACACACATACACACACACACACACAAATTAACAATTATGAAAACTACTTTAGAAGCCATAGTCAATAAAATTATGGTCAGGATTTTTAAAAATTAAAAGCAAAAATACTTAAATATATCTCTGAGATATTTTTCTCAGTCTTTAGGATTTATCTAGTAAAGCTCTAATTATTCATTCAATTATTCACTCAATAAAAATCTCTGTCTACTACATGTTAAACATACCATAACCTCTCTTTTGAGAAACCCACAAATTAATGTGTAAGAATTTACATCATAATCACTCATAATTAAATGCTACTGAAACAATTGTTTTTCAATGTAGTTAATATTTGTCATTCAAAAAATTATTGCTTTATATATTAGAGTATTGGAAATAAAAGAAGTCCACTCAACCTTCCCTGGTTGGTAGTGGATGAAAGAAGGAAGGGTTGGTCCTCACTGGTATCATATAGTGAGGAGAACAACTTATTTTTTCCTCACTAAAGGGTAATGATGGTATGCAGATCTCTATCATGAATTTTGCCTCCACCATGCCAGCAACAAGATTTTAGTCAGGTGGAACAAAGAAGCAGACTTTTAATACGATGATAATTTTTTGCTGTTTAGGTGATCACTTAGGTGATCTTTGATTAGTGCTTATGTAGTCTCCTAAATTTAACTAGCAAATTATTCTCCTCTACAATTCCTTCCAGAATGCAAAGGTAAGGCTGAAAAGAATGGATCTTAAATGCATCTGTTTTTAGGCAAAAATAATGATGGTATGAAATATAAATTGGTTTTCCAATAGAGGCAGTAAATTTAACTGTTTTTCCAGAATTTTGCCTCAAGGTTAACAATGTACCTTTGCAGACAGGCTGACCAGAGTTATAGATATACCTTGTGACCATGGGACAAATATTTGAAGAATAAATTCATGAATTCATTAGCAATACACATTTATAAACTGCATAGTTAATAGACTTGACAGTAAAAGATTGGGCATTGATTATAAATGAATTGTTCAGTTTGCTGATTTTGTACAATGATTCCAGGCAGTCCCCAAATATGCTTTGTACTTATGCCTTCATTTCTTTGCTTGTGGTCTCTTATTCCATGGAATCTGTTCCCTTTCTTTCTCCCTTCTCTACACTCCCATCCACAACTCTCTCCTAACCAAGGAAACTTCTAACTTATCTTTCTAGGTTTAAGGTACCTATAGATTCTTTTTCTAGTCATCTCAATATCTCTTCCCAGCTATATTCATTTTCCATTAAAGATAGTATTAATTTTTCTTTCTACACACTTAGCAGTTCTGTTGTAGCTTGTTGTATTTAATTTGTGGGTTTCTCGAAAGAGAGGTTATGGTGTGTTTAACATGTAGTAGACACTTAGAGATATTTATTGAGTGAATAATTGAATGAATAATTAGAGCTTTATTCTTTTCATTTTGTCGTAAATAAATGCTTTGTCTCATAATTAGATTAACTCTAAAAACTGAGAAAAATATCTCAGAGATATATTTAAGTATTTTTGCTTTTAATTTTTAAAAATCCTGACCATAATTTTATTGACTATGGCTTCTAAAGTAGTTTTCATAATTGTTCATTTGTGTGTGTGTGTATTTTTTTTCATATATATATATATATATATATATATATTGTGTGGGACATTCCACAAGTTTTATGCTTTGCCCCATGGAAAAGAGGGATGAGATGGTTAGAGGAGTGTAAATGGCACAAGCCTAGCAGTTTTAAACATATTCAGAAGTAGGGATAATATTCTAGTGAATCCCAGTGATCCATCACCCAGCTTTAACAATATCAACTCATGGTCATTCTTGTTTTGTCTTTTCCCCCACTCGTTGTTCCAGATTATTTTTTTCCAGATTATTTTCTTAAAGGGAGGTTTATTGATACCTTGTTTATATAAAATATAATGTACCCTTTTTAAGTATAAAGTTTGAAGAGTTGGGACAAACTTACACAGTTGTTCGTGTGTCCAAGATACAGAATATTTCCATTACTACAACAATTTTCCTCATGCCACTTTGTAGTTAGTCTGTTTACCCACCCCATTTCCTAAGAACTACTGATTTGTTTCTGTTCCTGGAGTTTTACCTTTGTCTAGAATGTCGTATAAGTGGATTCAAACAGAATGGGGCCTTTTGTGTCTTGCTTTTTCTGTTTAACACCAATCTTTTGAAAATCATCCATGTTGTTGCTCTTATTGGTAATTGTTCAGTTGGTTCTCTGTTTTATGGATGTGACATAATTTGCTAATCCAGTCAACAGGTGATGGTCATTTGGGTTGTTTCCTGTTTGGATCTCCTATGAGTAAAACAACTCCGGACATTCACATGTATGCGTTTTTATGGATATATGTATTCATTTCTCTTGGGTAAATACCTAGGTGTGGAATTCCTAGGTCATATGATGAGTATGTTTACTTTTATATAAAATGACCAAACTATTTTTCAAAATGTTCATACCATTTCAGTGAAAAATTCAATGCACTTCAGTGAAAATTTTTAAACTAAGAAAATTCCAAATTTTTGAGTTTCAAATTTCTGTTACTAATAAATTGTTGATCTAAAGTTCTTGGCTATTTTTATTACTCGAAGCAACAAGACTCACTGAGGCAACTATCAAGACATCTTGTTACTTACTGCTGGCAAGATCCTGGCTCGAGTTCTCTTCGACAGACTGCAATGCAGTCCTGCCAATTATGTGCTCCCAAAATCACCATATGGCTGTGGGCCATGCTCAGTACAGCTGACTTGATCTTTGCAGCGTGTTTGGATTTAGGAAAGTCAGGGTTTAAATGAGCCTGGATCTTATAAGATTTCAAATTCCAGCAGATTCATTTTTCTGATTAAATGAAACTGCTACTGAGTACAAAAGCCTTACATGTAGAGTGAAAATGGGTTTTTATTAAACAGGTTTTTCATAATTAAAAAAGTATCATTGCTATTAATTATTTTAGAAAGAAATATAAACAGTGGCATCCTAGTATATTATCCTTTGATCTGGTGAAATAATTTGATTAAGTCAAGAGTTCCAGATTCTTGACAGTATTTTTCTTCTTCTTTTTTTTTAAGAAATCAGAGTTTTAAAAGATCCTGGATTTAAGACTATGACATATTTTCTAGTTCATTATAAAATTAAAGGCATTTTATTTTAGTTCTTGCTTTGGTATGGTATAGAATAGATTCAGATATACTATTATTATCAACATTTCATTTTCAACTACCATGGAGTGCCACAGACAGTGAGACCCTATATTAGATTCTCTATCTAGTGTACCCTTTAAGAATAACAGAGTAGCATGGCCAGTGTGGCTCAGTGGATTGAGCATCGTCTCATGGACTGAGAAGTACCGGTTCCATTCCTGGTCAGGGCACATGCCTGGGTTGCAGGCTCGATTGGGGGGGGGGGGGGGCGGATTACAGGAGGCAGCCAATCAATGTATCTCACTCAAATCAATGTTTCTATCTCTCCCTTCCTCTCTCTCTAAAAACAAAAAATCAATAAAAATATATTTTAAAAAAGAATAACAAGTTACATTAAAACTGCTGGAATAGCTTCCGTGAAGACCAAGTATATAGACTGCTTTAGCAAGATGCAGGTATTATCTAATCTGCTATGTGACTACACAGAAATTATTCTATGCTAGTAAACAAATTTTGGCAAATTATAAAAGAAAACAGTTATAATAACTGTCTTTGAAATTTATAACACCACACAACAGATATATTGTCAACCAAGATTTGAGGTCTCATTGATTTTCAGAGAAGGCCAAATATTTGCTTGGTAATGATGCTATTGATGACTCCTTGAATTGGGAGAAAGTTCCAGTGAGACCTGAAATGACTGAACCTCCTAGAGATGAGACGTCTGTGAAGTCTACCTACAGAGTAATCAGACTTAATTTCCTTCAGCTTTCTAAGGGTTGATCTGCTTCTTTGCCATAGCCACCCAAACTGGTAGATGGGCACAGTTCCATAGTCATATTTATTTGCACCAAATGCTGTAGTCATTCAGAACACACCTACAATGTCCAAGATTTTTAGACACCGCCATAATCTGCATCAGAGAGTGATTATAAATCTTAATTTAGAGCTCTAAGTAGGTCTGAGGCCAGGGCCAGAAACTTGTGAAAGAAATGATATGCAGAACTTGTAAGGGATGTCCCTTTGCTTGAACCTGAATTTTCAAAGTATTGAGACTTTGCAGAGGGGAAAGGCAGAGATAAATCAGGCCCTAAATATAGTGGGTGGGACACTGTTAGAGAACGGACTTCAAAGCCAAGGTGGAAGGAGTACATGCAGCTAGTGATGTGGGAGTACAGAATAGTTTCAAAGGCCTAAGGAAACCACAGTGCAGCTATGATAACTTTGCCAGAGATAAGGCTCAGCTGAGATCCATGTTGCTCTTCAGCCTGAGGGTCAAGCTCCAGTGTCTGATGATTCTCTTTCTTCCTTGAAATCCACGGTGTAATTCCACATTAGTGGGATTGGGTTGTAATAGTCACAAACTGGGATTGAAGAGATGTAATTTTCTTTATTGTCTTTAACTGATCTCACCTTGCTTTTAAACTTCCACAGCTCAACAATGGAAAATGCTTGAGCTTGTCAATCATTTACCTGTTTATTTCCCTGTTAAAAATGTAGGTTTTTTTGCCTTGGCCGGGTTTGCTCAACGGTTAGAGCGTCGGCCCTCGGACCAGAGAGTCCCAGGTTTGGTTCCCGCTAAGGGCACGTACCTCGGTTGCAGTTTGTCCCCACCTCGGTTGGGGTCATTTGGGTGGCAGCCAGTTGATGTGTCTCTCTCACATCAATGTTTCTCTCTCTCTTTCTCCCTCCCACTCTATCTGAAGATAAATGCAAAAATATCCTCAGATGAGGATTAAATAAATAAATAGATAGATAGATAAATGGAGGGTTTATTAGACAAGTACTAAGTACTTTCACTTATACGAGGTATCTGAAGTAATCAAACTCATAGAAAGTGAAATGATGTTGGCCAGGGGCTGCAGGTGGTAGTGGTTGAGTTGCTCAATGGGTACGGAGTTTCCATTTTACAAGATGAAAAAGTTCTAAATATATGTTGCACAGCAATGTGAATGTGTTAAAATTACTGAAATGTACACTTAAGAATGGGTAAGATAGTATCTTTTATTTTTTTAACCAAAATGTAAAAGAATAAAAATAAATTGGACATCATAAAATATTTAGGTTTGGGGGGAACTATTACCCTTTTTCAGCATTTCTCACTACAGAAAGGTTCTCCACCTATCACCATTCTGTTTTTCTAGGTCAATCTGGAGTAAGAAGGCTCACCTAGCTTCTTGGCATTGCAGAAGGTTTTCTGGTCCTCCCTCACAGGCTTCTTGTCCACGTGGTTTGTTTTGGTAGGTCTCAGGGCATTATTCTGTCCTCTTGATGCATCTGCTGGAACTTAGTGGGCTCCTAGCAAATGAGTGTCCGTACTAGTAGCCACTGGTGTATTGCTGGTCATCTGGTTTTTGAGGCATTGTGCTGGCACCTGCTACTGATGAATGCACTATTGCCTCCAGTTATGAGGTCCCTGGACTTTGTCATCCTTATCTGAATCCAGCAGCCAATCCAGCAACCCATTTAACAAGCTGTCCCCTTTGGTTACCTGGTGGCTTTTGGATGCTTTCTCAGAAACTCTGGAGAGTTCAGGATTCATTGTGGATATCCTTAGTCTAGGCACCTTCTCAGTCATTGCTACTCAGCTACTCTGGCAACATGTTAGATGTAGGACTATGACAAGCAGAATAATTCTTTTAACGATTTCTGATTATTCATGCTACAAAAGAAACAGAACACAATCCTACTATTCTTTCATTCTCTGAGATTTGTCTGGATTTTTCTACTCTACTTAACTCTCTCAGCCAAGTTTTGACTCAAAAAAAAGGAGCAAAGATACTTGGATGATATCTCTCACTTTCTCATTCCCTTTCTCCTTCTTTAGTCCAGAAAAAAAAATGTATAGCATATGCCAATTTCCTAGATAGTGCTTTCTCGACTTTCCTAGTGGCAATAAGCCTCAGCCTCATGTTTTACTGTTAATTACCAAAAGTCTGCTGGGAAAGGAAGGCGAAGAATTAACAATAAAGGAAAAAATGGATGGCAAATATTTTTACAATATCCCCACTTCATCTGGGCTTCTTTGTAAATTCCTCTATCTTGCTGCTTCTTCATGTCTTGTTCACTCTATTCCTATGTGCTTCTAATACATTCTTTTACCAATATTTCTATTTCTTCAATAGTACATAAGAATGAAGTTTCAAGTCAAACTGCCTCAGTTCAAAACCTAATCTTGGTACTCAGAACTGAATTAAGTTTTTATTATTATTATTATTGATTTTTAGAGAGAGAGAGAGAGATATTGGTTGCCTCCCGCAGATTCCCTGGCTGGGGATTGAACTGACAACTTGGCTATGTGTCCTGACTGTGAATTGAACCTGCCATCTTTTGATGTACAGGACATCACTCCAACCAACTGAACCACACCAGCCAGGGCCCTGAATGAAGTTTTTAGCTCTCTGTGTTTCAGTTTCTTCACCTATAAAATACAGATTAATAATAGCCCTAATTCCAGCCACTCGATGTGTCCCTTCACGTCGATGTTTTTCTCTCTCTCTCTCTCCCTTCCTCTCTCTCCCTCCCACTCTGTACAAAAAATGGAAAAATATCCTCGGGTGAGGATAAAAAATAAAAATAATAGCCCTAATTCTGCAGATGAGATAACCATATAAAGTACTTTGAACAGTGCCTGGAATATAGTTAAGTGTTTAATTAATAGTGGCTATTAATATGCATACCACATCACTTCTTCTCTAGACTAGTAAAATAGATTTCTAATCAAATTTCTTATCCCTCTTTCAACTCCTAGGCTCCTTCCTTTACACTATTATATGGAATTCAGAGGATCTGAGAATTGGATGGGGAAAAAATTACATCTTTCTTTTACCTCATATTTAATTAAAATTTATCATTTTTTTCTTTTTTTCTTTTTTTATTAATAAATTTTTGTTACAGATGTTTCTCCTTTTTCCCCAACTGATTACCCCCTCCCTGTCCCTCCCTGCCCTTTACCCAGTTTGTTGTCCATGTCCACTGTTCACACATAAATGCATATAAGTTCTATGGTTTATCTCTCCCCCACCACCCCCTCTTCTGGGGACTGTCAGTCTGTACCCCACTTCCACATCTCTGGGACTAACCCTTTCCTCAGACTATTATGTTCATTATGTTCCATATATAAGTGAGATCATATGAAACTTGTCTTTCTCTGTTTGGCTTGTTTCACTTAGGATGATACTTTCCAGGTCCCTCCATGTAGTCTCAAAGGATAAGAGATCTTTCTTTCTTACAGCTGCGTAGTACTCCATTGTGTATATGTACCACTGCTTTTTTATCCATTCGTCTACTGATGGACACTTGGGCTGTTTCCAGATCTTAGCTGTTGTAAATAGTGCTGCTATAAACATGGGGGTACATATCTTCTTTCTGATTGGTGTTTCAGGCTTCTTAGGGTATATTCCTAGAAGTGGAATCACTGGGTCAAATGGAAGTTCAATTTTTAATTTTTTGCGGTAACTCCATATTGTTTTCCATAGTGGCTGCACCAGTCTGCATTCCCACTAGCAATGCACTAGAGTCCCCTTCTCTCCACACCCTCGCCAACACTTGTTGTTTGATGATTTGTTGATGGTGGCCATTCTGACAGGTGTCAGGTGATACCTCATTGTTGTTTTAATTTGCATCTCTCTGATGATTAGTGATGATGAGCATTTCTTCATATGTGTCTTAGCCATTTGTATGTCCTGTTTGGAGAGGTGTCTATTTAGTTCCTCTGCCCATTTTTTAATTGGGTTCTTTGTCTTCCTTTTGTGGAGTTGTTTGAGCACTCTATATGTATTGGAAATTAACCCCTTATCTGATATATCATTGGCAATTATGCTATCCCATACAGTGGGTAGCCTTTCCATTTGATGATTATATCTTTCGCTGTGCAGAAGCTTTTGAGTTTGATGTAGTCCCATGTGTTCATTTTCTCCTTTGTTTCTATTGCCTTAGGTGATGTATCAGTGAAAATTCTGCTGCGTATGAGGTCTGAAATTTTGTTGCCTACAGTTTCTTCTAGGATTTTTATGGATTCATGAGTCACATTTAAGTCTTTTATCCATTTTGAGTTTATTCTTGTGTAGGGTGTAAGTTGATGGTCTAGTTTCATTTTTCTGCAAGTAGCTGTCCAATTTTCCCAGCACCATTTATTAAAGAGGCTGTCCTTACTCCCTTTGCCACCTTTGTCAAATATTAATTGAGCATACTGCCTTGGGTCCATTTCTGGGTTCTCTGTTCTGTTCCACTGGTCTATATGCCTGTTCTTGTGCCAGTACCAGCCTGTTTTGATTACAGTGGGTTTGTAGTATAACCTGAAATCTGGTAATGTGATCCCTCCAACTTTGTTCTTCGTTTTCAAGGTTGCTGTGGCTATTCAAGGCCTTTTTTGGTTCCATGTCAACTTTTGAAGTAATTATTCTAATTCTGTGAAGTATGCCGTTGGTATTTTGATGGGGATTGCGTTGAATCTGTACATCGCTTTGGGTAATATGGACATTTTAATGATGTTAATTCTCCCAATCCATGAACAGGGTATGTGCTTCCACTTTTTTATATCTTCCTCTATTGCTTTTTTCAATGACATGTAGTTTTCTGCGAATAGGTCCTTTATTTTTTTGGTTAAGTTTATTCCTAGGTATCTTAATTTTTTTGCCGCAATGGTAAATGGGATTGTTTTCTTAGTTTCTCTTTCTGTGAGTTCATCATTGGTGTATAAGAATGCCATTGTTTTCTTGACATTAATTTTGTATCCTGCTACTTTGCCAAATTCATTTATTAAGTCTAGTAAACTTTTGATGGAGTCTTTGGGGTTTTCTATGTATAGTATCATATCATCTGCAAATAATGACAATTTCACTTCCTCCTTTCCAATTTGGATTCCTTTTATTTTTTTCTTCCTGTCTGATTGCTGTGGCTAAGACTTCCAGTACTATGTTAAATAAGAGTGGCGAAAGTGGGCATCCTTGCCTTGTTCCTGTTCTTAAGGCAAATGGTTTTAGTTTCTGCCCATTGAGTATGATGTTGGCTGTAGGTCTTTCATATATGGCCTTTATTATGTCTAGATATGATCCCTCTATTCCCACACTGCTGAGCGTTTTTATCAGAAATGGATGCTGGATTTTGTCGAAGGCTTTTTCGGCATCTATTGATATGATAATGTGGTTTTTATTCTTTATTTTATTTATGTGGTGTATCACATTTATTGATTTGCGAATATTGTACCAGCCTTGCATCCCTGGGATGAATCCCACTTGGTAATGGTGGATAATTTTTTTGGTGTATTGCTGGATCCAATTTGCTAGTATTTTGTTCAGGATTTTGCCATCTGTGTTCATCAGGGATATTGGCCTGTAGTTTTCTTTCTTTGTTGTGTCTTTTTCTGGTTTTGGAATTAGAATTATGCTGGCTTCATAAAATGAGTTTGGAAGTCTTCCTTCTTCTTGAACTTTTGAAATAGTTTGAGGAGAATGTGTGTTAGTTCTTCTTTGAATGTTCGGTAAAACTCCCCTGTGAAGCCATCTAAGCCTGGGCTTTAGTTTGTTGGGAGAGTCTTGATTACATCTTCAATTTCTTCTGTTGTTATTGGTCTGTTCAAGTTTTCTATCTCTTCCTGATTCAGTTTTGGAAGACTATGTTTTTCTAGAAATTTGTCCATTTCGCTTAGATTGCCGAATTTGTTGCCTTATAATTGTTCATAGTAGTTGTTCACGATCTTTTGTATTTCTGTGGTGTCAGTTGTTACCTCTCCTCTTTCATTTCTGATTTTGTGTATTTGGGTTCTCTCTCTGTTTCTTGGTGAGTCTAGCTAAGGGTCCATCAATCTTGTTTATCTTTTTGAAAAACCAGCTCTTTGTTTCATTGATCCTTTGAATTGTTTTTTAGGTCTCTATGTCATTTATTTCTGCTCTGATCTTTACTATTTCCTTCCTGCTACTTGCTCTGGGGTTTTCTTTTTGTTTGCTCTCTAGTTCTTTAAGTTCTGAGGTTAGACAGTCAATTAGAAATCTTTCTTGTTTTTTGAGGTAGGCCTATAGTGCTGTGAACTTCCCTCTCAGAACTGCTTTCACTGCATCCCATAGATTTTGTGTTGTGTCTTCATTTTCATTGATTTCCAGGAAGTTTTTTATTTCTTCCTTGATCTCCTCGGTGACCTATTCATTGTTTAATAACATGCTATTTAGCTTCCATGTGTTCAAATGTCTTTGTATGTTCTTCTTGCAATTGATTTCTAGTTTCATGCCATTGTGATCTGAGA